TAATATAATATATAAGATATAATATATACGAATATATATATACACTTATATATATATATATATATATACTTTTATAACAACATCATTTCCAATATTAGAGCAATTTTTCCAAAATTAACCTAAATGTGAACATAATGTTTATATATTTATAGAGCTAAACATTAAGAAACAAATTGAAGGTTTATCTCACTTGTGACATCGTTAGTGCTCGGAATTTCATCAAGTCCACCACAGTCAATGATAACGTTTACTGTCATATCTTTAAAATTAGTGACCATAACATGCATGAGTCCAAATCTAAAATAATTAATAGAGAAAATGTTGCTTGTAACATTAATTTTATTACAATTATCGTCAACATCCTCATCACCATCATAATTTTGATTTGATCATACAAGGTGAATCGGTTACACATACCGTCTTAACCCACTCCATCTTGTAACGCACACGTTTGAGAAATTTATCAGGTAAATCATCTCGGCAAAGAAAAAAATTATTCTCATTCCGTTTCCAATTTCATATAATATATCCTCATATGTTTCAAGTGTCGTCAACCATATGTCGATGGTGGACATCAAAATGCTCGTAAAACCAAACGTCACGATTCCACCTGTAATGGTTCAAAAATAATTTGATTGTTACTAACGCTGTCAGAACGGACGTTCACAGAAATATGTATGGATATGTATATACAGTGCACTTTCTAAATCAAGAACCCTCTAATTTCGAGACTTAATTCGAGACCATGACTTTTGTTCAAGGAACCAAGTAACACTGTTCAATCTATTAACACTAAGTTAACATGTGGAAACCGAGGCCATACCAACCCAAATGTTTAGGTCCTAAAGGTGGTCTCAATAAAGTAACGAAAATAATATTATTATTTTTGCCATTAACAGGTAAAAGATAATTGTATGACAGGAAGCCCCCAAAACTACGACAATTTATGAATTCTAATGGCTTGTTTAATCGATTTTAGAGTCACCAATATAAAAATGCATATCATATTTTTCTGCCGACGAATCATGTTTTTCCTCCGCGGCCCCAGTGGCGCTACAGTTGACGCATAGCCATTGTATTTGTACATACATGTAAACCCATCAAGTAAAATAGAACGAACCTTTAACATGAAGACTACTGGCCATACTCATCTCTTTTCCAACAGGTAACAATTTGTTTACCTTTAAGTAGATGATATCGCCAACTATCCACGCGATGGCAACAATGTATACGACAATGGTGTAGATGTTATACGTCTCGGCTGTTAATAACTTAGTTTCCATTTGCTGGGCCACCTCGGCAGTAAGTAGCACAATTGCAAACAAATAGATAAGCATGCCATACAAACCACTAAACAATGCATTCATGTGAAAGCTTAGATAAAACAAGAAGAAAGAGATATTAAATATATACTGCAACTTAAATATATCATAATAATTATATACTGTAAGCCTAATATGTACTTGAACATTATA